AGAACTTATGTCTCAAGATAGGAGTTGAAATTCAAACTTAACCTACATGTAGAAATGAATGAGGTGGTTTCTTCCAGTACTTTGCAATGTCACAAAAACAGCTCATTCTGTGGTGTCATCTCTTCAAGAGAGGCCCAAGACCCATTACTAAAGGTGATGGGAGAAGAGAGTCAGGAATGAGACAATTTGATAAAGCCATATGAGAAAATTTGCACTGCACCTTGCTCTAGACAGTTCTTCTCCTTCACAAGCCCATAATCAATTCTTGAATAAATAGAGGAAACACAGTGGGGGAACAGATTTGTCCATTCTGTGTGCGTATACTGTGTCTAACCGAGGACAGTAAAGAAACAAGGTAGGTGAGGTAATATGAGCCACATAGACCTCTTCTTTCCAGAGGAAGAAGAACTTTGAGTAAGCTCAAAAGCTTGGCTCTCTCACCAACACAAGTCGGACCAATAAAAGATTTTATCTTACCTATCTTGTCATGATGTGTGTGCACGCTTCAGCAGTTACGATATTCAAGGACTCTACATGCTATTTAGTTTGAGTGGGAATTGGCTGTCCAAATCCCGTAGGGCATGTCTATACTACTTGGAAGATTGACACTGCCGCAGTCAATCTTTCGGAGTTTGATTTCACAGGTCTAGTATAGACCCACTTCATCAAACTCAAAGGGCGCCCCTATTGGCCCAGTACTCCTACTCTTCAGGAGGAATAAGGGAAGCCAATGGGAGTATTTGCTCCCATTGGTCTCCCTCTGTGTGGACGGAGCGGTAACGCAATGTAAGATACATTAACTCCAGCTACGTAATCTATGTATTTGGAGTTGCGTATCTTACTTTGACCTTTCCATGTAGTTTAGACCAGGGTAAATGGCTTTGAAAAGCTCAGCCCCATAGATCATTTTAAAATGATTGCGCCAAATTCAACTCTAGTAGAGCTCCATTGGTGTAAATGGAGGTCTAACAAAGATGAAAATGACCTTCAGTTTGAGAGCTTCACAAGAATCTACGGAATTGTATCTACTTAAACTGACACAATGTGGCAATTATGTACAACTGTTATTTGACATTACAGGCAAGTATCTTATGTGCAGGACTTGAGCTAGGAAATAATTCAAAGGAAAGTTTAACCGAGAGGCCTGTCATCATACTCCATTAGCTCAACTTCCTTGTACCAGAAATTGAAGTATGAAATATCAAATCTACTATATATTTTCGAGAGAGTGTCGGTTTGTACAAGAACTCCTCTTAAACTGTAAGAGCTAAAACCACCAAATTCAGTATGCAGCTTCCTCTTATAACTTAAACCAAAGTAAAGGTTTGGTTGCACCAGGAAAATGGGATGTGCCTGGAATGGGATCTCATCTTATAAAATCCTATAGAAAAGACCCAGAAGCAGCAAGTAGGTGAAAGGGGCTGGCTGAGTGCAGAACCGCCTCAGCCCCAAACCTCCCACTCCCCAGGTGCCCTTTAGAGAGCACAGAATGGGGGAAGCTGAAGCTCCGCCATCCAGATTTGCATGGGGATGTTGCTGTCTGTTTTCCCTTGCTCCCTAATAGTGATGAAGGGGACATGCACAAACTTACTTGAGTTAAGGATAATGATGGGTAAGTAAATGTGGCCTGTACAAGCAAAAACAAAGACGTTATTAATGAAAGCTGAAAAATCTTGTATGGTAAGAACCTTCATGCATTAAAAACTAAAACAGAGTAGGAAAGTAGGAAATAGCCTCTTTGAAACCTGACTTTCAGTTCATCCCTATTTTGATTTTGTGGCCTTCGGTGTTATGACATAAGGAAAGGCAGGCTGTTCTCTGTATCAGCTAAAGAAGCAAACACCTAATGGTGAATGTTTGGCAGTTGATAACTAAGAACAAGGAAGAGTTTGGATAAACAGCACACCAAGATAAGCAGACACAAAATCCAAGCCATGCTTTTTTCCCTTAATTGGAAAAGTCCAGTAATTGTAACAAGGAGTGTATGCAACTGGAAATAAATTACAATGGTTCATCTATTGTTTACTATAAACTTTTTAAAAAAACGCTTCTTGATATACTGAATCCTGCACTGTATACAAATATTTAAATACTTTCAGTGTTACTGCAAGGGTTATTTTGATACTATATTCAAACAAATGTCAAAAAGAAAAATGCTCCTAATAATCAGAGTACAATCATTTTAAGAAGAGTAAATACACTAAGTGTATGAACTTGCACATCAAAGGCAAGAATTAGAACAGAGAGGACTCTGCAATAAGTCAGTAATAGACTAAACAACACATGCTTGCCAAAGCCTAACTTCCCTGAACTCTCCACCTTAGTTTTCCCCCAATATGTCACAGCACCAAGCAAGAAAGAAGTCACTTTGCAGTAAATTTTGGCTACTGCTGCAGCAGAGCCACAATAAAGATCAACCAAAACATTAGTGTATCCCTCAGGACAGATTGTGGCTGTTCAAATAGAGGTCCCCAGATTCGAGCGCACCTATGTGCAATTCATTTGCTTGGAATTCTCTAACCCAGGAAGGAGGCCAGTAGCATGGCAGTAGGCAGGTCTGGCACCCTGTGAAGGGGTGTCCACCCCCACGATAAGACTTGGAGTTATGGTGGCCAGATGGGCCAGTTAACTGCCCAGGCTGTGCTTGGAGCAGGAGGCAGGGAACAGCGATTGATGAAATGATACAGAACAGCAAGAGGAGAGGCCGGTACAAGGCCCAGGAACTGAACAGAAAGGGGTTCAGGGAAGTAGGCTGCAGTCACCCTTGAAGAGAAGGGAACTGTTGGAGAGAAGTCTCAGCTTGGAGCTACGTATCTAGAGTTACTCCCTGGGAGGAGAAAGTTTAAGCTGGCTAGCCCAAGGAATGGAGAGAACTGGAAAGTAGGAAAGGCTCATGGGAAAAGTACTAAAGGGTAGAATAAGGCAGACCATGGCTGCTGCTGAGGGCCCAGAGCTGAAACCCAGAGGAGAGGTCAGTCTTGGGTTTCTCTACCAGCCACTGGGGAAGTGGCCTAGCTGAGACAGTTTTCCTGGGAACACTTTGATACTTGGAAGAGAAGGACTACAGTGACCTGACTGCAGGGACAACCAATGAAGAGGAAACTGCAGCTCCTGAAGTGAGAGAGGCTGCAGGATGAGCCAGGGTGGTGAAGAGACTGCAAAAGGAAGGGGCAGCACCTGGAAACAGCTAATCTCCTGAGGAAGGGCCACTAACGGTGAGCCCCAGGACACATCTTCCCTTCTATGCACACAGACAGGACAGTGTGCATGAGATTTAGCTCCTGGTGTTGAACAGATGGCTATACAATGTACTCCCAGCACCCAGATGGTTCCCACGCATTGCTGATAGAATTGCTGGAGTGGCAATTATAACAGTGTTGTCTGAGATATTATACAACAAGTAGTCCTATGGCACCTTGGAGATTAATAACTATATAGGGTCATGAGCTTTCATAGGTAAGACCCACTTCACCAGATGTAGTAGAAGTACTCATGTAGCCGTACTCATCTAGTGAAGTGGGTCTTACCCATGAAAGCTCATGTCCCAATATATTTTTGTTTGTCTCTAAAGTGTCACAGGCCTACGTCTAGTTTTTAAAGTTACAAACTAACACAGTTACTCCTCCTGAGACTTTTTGAGATATTATATCCTTTCTCCATACTTTGAGATAGGGAATGCTTATGATATTTCTGTAACTTGTAGTAAATACTGAGGTGACCACTGTGGTGAAAAGTGTTAAGTAGTATATCACATTGTCTGATGCAGATGCGTGATCACTGTGTAGATCTTTAAACAAGATAAGGTCTCATGTTGTCTGTTAACATCCTGGATACCAACACAATTACAACACTGCATAGAGCTTCTAGTGGACACCCTGAATTGAGTAGGCCTCCAAATAACTGACAGTAACTTTTCAAGCTATGCTCTACTATATTACTAATACTATTTAGCATAGCAAATTCTGGGCATTAAGCCATGAATGCTTCAATTGAATCTGTTGAAAATATTTTGTTTTTATGTCCTCACATCAGGACATTTTTAGACACCTGCTTTCTTTCAAGAAACACATTTATCTTCTGATGTAATGTGGACTTAGAAAGACGTGATTGTGCCACGTAACAGACACCTAATTATAAGGATAATTATCCACTTTCAAGAAAAAATTACACTTGTTATAGTGTCCTGTTGTGAAAATTAGATGACTAGACATTAACAAACTCCTGATAGTCATGACAGAAATATTTATTCCTCAATAAAGACATGTCTTGAGCTCTGTGGAAACCTTAGGGATGCAACGTACACCAGGCTAACTGTCATGATGAAGGAAATCTCTCATGCATCTTTCCAAAAGAAGAGTATTTAATCATCTTCCCTACAATCTTCCCCCAGAAGTAATAATTATCAGGAGTAGAAATGATCTTCCTGCCAAAGTGTAATTTTCCACTGAGAACGTTAAGCAATGATAAATCTTTTAAAATCTTGTGACTAACACTGCTTTTTCAGATAAAACGTATTATTCATTATAGTACGTCTTCTTTCTAAATAATTATTTGCATAAACAGTAAATAAGTTGCCTTGGTATTTACTGCTAGTACTGATTGATATTCATGACCAGACTTTCCAAAGAGCTACATAGAGTGGGTGCTGAGCTCTCAAAAATCTGGCCCTTAAAATCTAGGCAGAGACCCTGTAGCTAACCAACAGACTGAAGTAACATGAGTGAAATCTACTCTGACCTGTAGTACCAAAACTTTTTTTCTCCTACCTCCTATTAATGGACACTGTTGCTCCTTGTTCAAGGAATGTAAGAGAGAGAAAATGTTTCTTTCAATGAATCATTTCTTAAAGGCACACTCTCAAGGTTTATTGACCCCAAACCCATACCATAAAATAATATTGTATAGTGTGAAGTAAAGAATGTCCCATAATGATGGATTTTAAAATTCTCCCAATATAAGAGTTAAGTGTATTAAAATCTTTGCTCCTAAAGCGGGCTAACCTCAATGTTGGCATCGTGTGGACATGTACATGTTGCGTTCTCCCTCTGCTGCCCCTGCTGGTTTTGTTCTGGGACTGATGTTTGTAAGCCTCTTCTCATCTGAGAGGTTCACAGGGCAGGAACTTGCCACTCTCTCTGTCCTGCTGCATCACAATTGTAGATCTGGCAGAGGACTAGAGACAAGGTGACAGCTTTAGGTTATTTTATCTGAGGCAAACTGTTAATTTCTCAGTGACAGACTTTCCAGTCCAAATGTAAAGTGAGCACCATAAAGTGTGTATGTGGAGAGCCATAGCTCTAAGGTCAGAGATAGCAAGGAGTTCCTCAAGCACAATGCCTCATGGAGTAGCTACAAGAGTGCTAAAGCACAGGAAGAGTCGGCAGGAATTAGCAGCTGATATACTTTTTCAGGGGACACCAGCCACGGGTCTCCCCAAACCACGCACCTCTCACCAAACGAGCAGCAGCTGTCTCATAGCAAAAGCATGTCCTTCGACTGGCCCGCCCTTCTGACTGAAATTATGTCCACTTTTGTAACTTCCATTAATCCAGATTAATTTTCCTGTATGTCCCCATGTAGACAAGTCCTTAAATTCTATACAAACTGTTTTGTTTCACTTACAACATATGGTAAATGGACCTAGCATGATTTGGGGATATTTGTCCAGATTCTGGTCTTGGGACTGGACATACATAGTGGTGAGATTTTCATTGTCATTTAAAGCAGAAAGTTGTATTTCTCTGGACTCTGATTAGCTGCTGTTCCTAATGTATAATGGAGATTATGAACCAGATCTAAAGATCTCTGGATAGGAACCTAGCAGTTTTGAAGATCTCGTCCCTCTTTGATCCAATGAGACTATTGATGATATCAGCATTGACCATTGCTAGCTTTGTGTGCTAACTGAAAAAGGCATTATTCCAACAGAAACTTTGAACTATCTTAGGGCACGTCTACACAGCAGAGTTATTTTGGAATAACTGATGTTATTTTGAAAAAACAAAATGCATGTCTATGCAGCAAACCATTATTCTGAAATAATGTTGAGCTGGAGGACTTCTTACTCCAGTTCCTGTAACCCTCATTTTACAAGGAGTAAGGGAAGTTGAAGGAAGAGTGGTAGACAGCGCCAAAAGCCGAATTAAACTATTTGGACTTCAGCTACGCAATTGACTTAGCTGAAATTGCGAATCTTAAGTCAACTTTTGCCTTGCTGGTCAGATGTACCCATACTGTGGACAACTTCACAACAACCTTGTCTAAACACAAGAATTATATAGCTTTAATTATGCTGGTATAGTGAAAGTGGTACTCCCCTCTAGTGTGGATACAGCTATAAAAGTGCTTATGCAGTATACTTTATTTTTGTGTGGGAAAGAAAACAAGCTATAACCAGTATCTTATACTTACAACAGTATAACTGTGGCTACGCTAGGAGGTGTATAGTTTAAAAAAAATCACAGTCCGAAAATGGTCTCATTAGTACAAAATCTCTGTAGACTCCGTTTAAGTGTTTGCATGCCTCTGTTGTGCTCAATAAGAAAGCTAAACTCTGTCAGTATTGTGCAATGCCATGGCAATCCAAACCTCAATCAATCCCTTGTTTTCAAACTAGGAGTACTAGAAACAGAAAATGTAGCAGGCAAGAGTGTGCGCAAAGAGAAGTAGTAAATAGATTGATACTGCTTGTGGGCCTCCCAGCAAAAGAGCAAAACACATTACTTTAAAAGGTATTAAAATGGAGTACATGTGGTTTAAAAGGATGTTCTACTGGCTTCCCTGAATTTTAAAAAAATTAATCAATTAGTGTGTGCAGCTGTACATAAATCGTGTTCTGACAAAGATCAGTTACAATGGAGATAGCCAGCCCTGTCAAATGCTGTCTCTTAGTCCTCAAAATGGGAAAACTCCCACTTGCAGTAATCATTTCTGATTCTGGATGAAAGCAGCTTGGATTCATCAAACTATCCATACTTGGAACAGGTAGCTCATATGACAGGGGATTCATTAATAGAAGGGGAACTTTCTTCACCCTAGCAAAACCGTGATGTACAATCCCAGTCTTTCTCTAAACTATCACAGTCTATCAGATTGGAGCCTAGTGAAGTCTTGTAATCTTCACCTTATACTATTTCATGTCTGTTCTCTATCAGGATGTCCTATAAAGAGGATTCAAAGTTAAGAATAGGGTATCTGAGGGCTTCAATGTCTATGGAAGAGAACATCTGTATGTCTTACATATGCCTTAATTCAACAGACCACCAGCCATGAAGTAATGTTACAAGAAGATCTCTGGAATTTTAAATAAATATTTTAAATATAAAGCGGAGTTTGTTTAAAACATTAAAAACACTAATGTACACTAATGAAATGTCAAGCTGAATCCTAATAAATCCAAGAGGATTATTCCTACTGGAAAGGTACTAAGGCAGATTCTCATGTAGATTCTACTTCATCGTAGTTACAAGACCTATATGAATAATAATGTCTGCCTTAAAGTAACAGTGTTCACCATGTAACATAAGCATTATTTGTTTAATAGTAATGAAAGAAAAATCTTTGGATGCATTGGAAGAACGGGAGGAAAATAGATTGCACATGCAGTGATATATTTTTGCTAAGAGAAGTTAGATTAAAGGTGTTGAGCATAATATGAATACTTAGAATACAATGAAGTTCCATAAATAACATTATAGTCAAAGTCTTTAGAGAGTGGCAGTTAATGAGGAGAATCTCATTTTTATACTTACTCATTGAATATATTACAAAACAGGTCACGAAAAGAGGAACATCTTAATGGAGATTATGTTGGTCATTGACAAGCTCCTATTAACAATTAGAAGTGCTGGTGGTGTGAAATTCACTCTCATTGCAAGGGGGTGTATTACAGGAAGATGATATGAAAATGATCTTGAAAAACCACAGAACAGCTAAAATAATTTGTCTCACGTACATTTCATCACTGTTGCAAGACAATGGATGTTCTCATGGGCCTGCGGCATTTCAGTTACACCAGTGAACCTTTCAATACATCCCCATTATATTTTCATTGGCTCAGGATTGTATTTTACAAAGGGGAAAAATCTACAAATGGTTGGCTATGTCTTGGCTGAAAAACCCCTCCTGTTGAACTTTGTAAGGGTTCATCTATACTACACTCATAGGTTGGCTATGTCTTGGCTGAAAAACCCCTCCTGTCGAACTTTGTAAGGGTTCATCTATACTGCACTCATAGGTCAAAATACGCTATGCAAATTGCATAGCTTATTTTGATCAAATTTTGAAATAGCTTATTTTAAAATTTGGCACCGTCTACACAGTGCCAAATCTTGAAATAAACCACTGTTCCAAAATGTCCCTTAATCCTTGCAGAATGAGGGTTACAGGGATGTCAGAATAGTGAGCCTGTCATTTTGAAATAACAGGCTGGTTCAAAAGACGGTATCCTGAAATAGTGCCGCAATCTAGATATACCCTAATAGACTGGAACAAGTCTCAAGCTATAGCTGAGCAAGGTCTAAAGAAGTTCTCCCCATCAAGGCTCAATTGAGCAAAGTACATGAACACGTGTACTAGGACTACTCCTATGTTTAAAGTTATTGCATGTGCTTAAGTATCTCACTGAAAGCAAGTCTACACTAGGAAATTATTCTGAAATAGTTATTTTGGGATTTATTATTTCAAAATACATTATTTCAAAATATGCTTATTCCCCAAGAAAAACAGGAGTTATTATTTCAAAATAGCTTGCCCCTTATTTTGAAATAACAGGCTTGGTAGTATGGACGCTCTGCTTGTTATTTTGAAATAATGAGAGTGATTTCAAAATAACTCCCTAGTGTAGACCAGGTTTGAATCAGGGCCTTTAGTCAATAAAGGTCATGGGGAAGTGTAGACCAGGTTTGAATCAGGGCCTTTAGTCAATAAGAGGTGAGGAGCTTTTCATTGACTTCAATGGGAGTTGAATCAGGCTCTAAACTGAGAAGTGTAGCAGTAAGTCTGCTGTTTCAGATGCCACCAAAATTATTGTACATAGACAATAGGACAAAAGAAGCGCTAAGAATCCTCACCTTTTATAATAGTAACTCTCCAACCTGACAAGACCACACTAGTGCAGATGCTCACTTGGCATTCTCTGTCTTGCTCCAGTTTGCTGTTTCCGAATCTCCAGCATGGATTCTGGAGAGAGACTCTGCTGCATGTGGACCAGAGAGTATTTAGGGCCTGTTCTACTCTCCTTCCAGGGCAGTATAGATGTGGTAAGCTCAAGGTGAAGCAGGAATATTGCCAAAGGAGGCTGAAGTCCATTTGACCTCTTCATGGTGCTTGGGCTTTCGTTAGAATGAATTGTTATGGGAACTTGTTTTGACATTCTAGTAGCTACTTGCGCAAAGTGTACCCCCCTCTCATTGCATCTAAGGAAGAAAGCCTTCCTGCTCAGCAGCTTAGTTCTGCCATCCTTACTTGGACAAAGCTCCCATGGAGGTGGTTAAGTTCTACAAGTCCATTTGACCTCTTCATGGTGCTTGGGCTTTCGTTAGAATGAATTGTTATGGGAACTTGTTTTGACATTCTAGTAGCTACTTGCGCAAAGTGTACCCCCCTCTCATTGCATCTAAGGAAGAAAGCCTTCCTGCTCAGCAGCTTAGTTCTGCCATCCTTACTTGGACAAAGCTCCCATGGAGGTGGTTAAGTTCTACCCAAGGGAGGGTGGCAGGATCTTTTTATTCAGCATTCTCCTTCCTAATAGGGCACAGAAAAAGTGCCAGCTTAGTCCAGCTCTCTGCCTCTCTTTTAGGGTTCCCTGCAGAGGGTGGGTGTCAGAGGGGGCTTTAACCATTGCCTTGCCAGACATCGCACGCACCCCTTCACAGATGACTTTGGAAATCAAGGGTCAAATCCCATTTAATTAGTTAACTGGCTAAACGTCAAGTTTAATGGGTCAACTGATTAAATGGGGGAGAACAAGAGGGCTGGGCGAGAGCAGCCCCCCTTCCATAAGCATGGGCTGTTCCAGCTCAGCTGCTTTTGGCCCTGTGCATGGCTGCTGGCTCCTAACCCACACAGGGCTGGAAGAACTGCTCCCAGTCCCTCGCAGGTTGGGAGCCAGCAGCCCTGCGGGGTGTTTGGCAGTTCTGGAGCAGCCCTCAGCTTGTGGTGGGCCACAGGAAAGGGGGCTGCTCCCAGGTACCAGTTAAGCAATTACCTGTTCACATCCCTAGGCCAGGTCAATTTGGTTTCAATTCTGGCAGTCTGTTGGTGTCTCCTCTCAACTTGCAGCTCCATCCCTTTGTCAAGAGAACTGAAG